AAAATAACATTTGAAACAGAATAAAAAATAACGTTTGGAGCAGGGAAACTCCAGGATCGACGTGGAAAAATCTGAATTTTTTTGGGAGAAATGAGGCAGGAATTGTTTGAAAATCGGATTAATCGCGGAGATGCGGATGTGATGTTTAGAAGGGAAAAAGGAGTGAGAAGTTATATAAAAATATAAAAAATAAAATAAAAATAAAACTTTTCCCGAGCTTCTCAAAGTCAGCTCCAAGCGAATTTAGGGAAGGGAAAATTCGGGATATTCCACCACGGCCAAGCAGAACTCGGGTTCTGTTTAAAAATTATCTTTATGGGTTGTGGAGAGGAAAATTCACCCAGAAATTCCCAAAATTCACCCGGAAATTCCCAAATCCAAAACCCCTCCCTGCAAATCCCGGGCTCGGCATTTCCCGTCCACCAAACTCCAAATATTTATTTTTATTTTATTTTATTTTATTTTATTTTATTTTATTTTATTTTATTTTATTTTATTTTATTTTATTTTATTTTATCTTATCTTATTTTATTTTTATTTATATTTTTATTTTTATTTTTATTTTTATTTTTATTTTTATTTATATTTATATTTATATTTATATTTATATTTATATTTATATTTATATTTATATTTACATTTGTATTTGTATTTATATTTATATTTATATTTATACTTATAGTTATAGTTATAGTTATAGTTATAGTTATAGTTATAGTTATAGTTATAGTTATAGTTATAGTTATATTTTATATTTTATATTTTATATTTTATATTTTATTTTTATATTTTATATTTTATATTATTTTTATTTCATTTTATTTCATTTCATTTCTCAGCGGATTTTCCCCCATCCCAACCCGGGCAGGATTTTGGGGGAATTCCCCAGGATTTTGGCTCCCACCTGGGGGATTTTTAGGGATTTTTTGGAAGTTGTTGAGGGAGGAGAAAGCGTGGAAAAATCTGGAGTTAAAAATCCTGATAATTCAGCTTTCAAAGGGTTTATTTGAAACGATATTAAATATTCCAGGGTTATAATTATAATTACATATTATAATTAAATATATATTTTTATTTATATAATTATAATAAAGAAAATAACCACAACAAGCAAATCCTTTTTTTTGGTTTTTTTTTTTGATTTTTTTGTTTGTTTTCAAGGGTCAGAAAACAGAATTATAACCCCAAAAAGTAATTTCTGAATGATGCTCTAAAGGTTCTGAAAGAAACTTCAGCCGCTCCTCCCAAAAACGAGAAATTCCCTCCCGAAAGGTGAAAATTTTGGGGAAAAAAATAATAAAAAATGAAGTTTTTGTGTCCTGAAAGGGGAAAGATCCACCTTGGCCATTTCCTGGGGTTTTTGTGTTAAAAATCCCTCGGTGCTGGGGGAGGGAGGAAAGGAGGGGGAAATTCCTGGTCTGGGGAGAAGGAAAAACAAATTCCAAGTGTGGGAGGATTTTCAAGGAGAGAGAGTTTATACTGGATTTAAAAAAACACAAAAAAAACCACCAAAAAACACCAAAAAAACAAAAAAAACCCCACCAAAATAAACCTAAAAAAACCCTAAAAAACCCTAAAAAAACCCATAAAAAAACACACAAAAACACCCCCAAGGAAAACAAAAAAAAACAAAAAAACCTCAAAAATACAAAATAATACCACAAAAAACCCAAAAGAAACCCAAAAAAACCCCTCAAAACCCCCCCAAAATAAACCTAAAAAAACCCTAAAAAAAACCTAAAAAAACCCACAAAAAAACCCACAAAAACACCCCCAAGGAAAACAAAAAAACCCAAAAAAACCTCAAAAATACAAAATAATACCACAAAAAAACCAAAAGAAACCCAAAAAAACCCTCAAAAACCCCCCAAAATAAACCTAAAAAAACCCTAAAAAAACCTAAAAAAACCCACAAAAAACCCCACAAAAACACCCCCAAGGAAAACAAAAAAAACCAAAAAAACCTCAAAAATACAAAATAATACCACAAAAAACCCAAAAGAAACCCAAAAAAACCCCTCAAAACCCCCCAAAATAAACCTAAAAAAACCCTAAAAAAAACCTAAAAAAACCCACAAAAACACCCCCAAAGAAAACAAAGAAAAACCTAAAACCCTCAAAAATACAAAATAATATCACAAAAAACCCAAAAGAAACCCAAAAAAAACCCCAAAACCCCCCAAAATAAACCTAAAAAAACCCTAAAAAACCAAAAAAAACTCACAAAATCACCCCCCCAAAAAAAAACCCTAAAAAGTCAAAAATACAGAAAAATCCCCACAAAAACCCCAAAAGAAACCCAAAAAAACCTAAAAAAACCTAATAAACCCCACAAAAAACACAAAAAATACCAAAAAAACCCCAAAAGAAAACCCAAAAAAACCCAAAAAATCCACCAAAATAAATCTAAAAGAACCCTAAAAAAAACACAAAATCACCCCCCAAGAAAACAAAAAAACCACAAAAAAACCACAAAAAAACACCAAAAAAAACTGAAAAAAACACCCAAAAAATCACAAAAAAACCCAAAAAAACAACCCAAAAAAACCCCAAAAAAAACCAAAAAAAAAAACCAAAAAAAAAACCCAAAAAAAAACAGAAAAAAGGGGAAAAAATCCGATTTCAAGCGAGGTTTGTGACCTCAAAAGTTCATAAAACATTTTGGATCCCCTGCCCTGGGAAGGGGAGGAAGTTGAAATAAAGTTGAGTTTGTTGTTCTGGTCACTGGACTGGTTCAATTCCCTGCTTGGAAAAATATTCCAGGGAATTCCACCCTAAAATTGATCCCAAAAAGCCAAAAAAAGCCTCCCCAAAAATCCAAATTCATCGTCCAAATGGTTTTTAGTGAATTCTGCTGGTTCTGCTTTGGGGTGCCCGTGGTATAATCGGGATATCCCCCCCAAAAAAAAACCCAAAAACCCCAAAAGTCTCCCCAAAAAAACCCCCAAAACTCGATTTTAGTGAATTCTGCTGGTTCTGCTTTGGGGTTCCCATGGTGTAACCACAACACCACTCCAAAAAAAACCCCCAAAACCCCAAAAGTCTCCCCAAAAAAAACCCCAAAATTCCCAAAACCCCCCAAAATCCCTCCCAAAAACCCCCAAAATTCGCTTTTAGTGGATTCCTCTGGCTCTGCTTTGGGGTCCCAGCGGTGTAACCGGGATACCCCTAAAAAAAAAACCCCAAACCCAAAAAATCTCCCCCAAAAAACCCCAAAAACCTCCCCAAAAAACCCCAAAACTCGCTTTTAGTGGATTCCTCTGGCTCTGCTTTGGGCTCCCAGTGATGTAACCTGAATACCCCTAAAAAAAAACCCCGAAAAACCCCAAAATCCCCCCAAAAATCCCCAAAGCCGCGGTTTAGGCTGGCAGGAAGGGAGGGAAGCGCTCCAGGAGGGTGGGAGGACACAGGCGCAGGTAGAGGAGCTGGAATTGTTCCCATAAAAAGCCAAATAAAAGGGGGAGTTTCTTTCTTTGGGACGGGCTCAGAACATTTTTCTCCCCCCTCTCTCCGAATTAAAACT